CATACTGGGGATAAACTCCATGTATGTGGTGAATGTGGGAAAATCTTTATCTGGAAGAAGGACCTCACTGTTCATCAGCGAACTCATACTGGGGAGAAACCTTATGTATGCGGTGAGTGTGGTAAAGCTTTCAGCTGGAAGCAATCCCTTACAGCACATCAGACATTTCACACAGGAATGAAACCCCATGTATGTGGTGAGTGTGGGAAAGCCTTTATCAGGAAGAATGCACTGACTGTTCATCAGCGAACTCATACTTGAGAGAAACCCCATGTATGGGGTGAATGTGGCAAAGGCTACATTCAGACTTCACATCTCAAAACTCATCTACACACTCATACTGGAGAAAAACATGTATGTGGTGAGTGTGGTAAAGCTTTAATCCAGAAACAATGCTTCACAGCACATCAGACATTACACACAGGAAAGACTCCCTTTGCTTGAATTAAATGTGGAAAATCTTATCTGAAAGTCAAGTATTGTTCAACATGAGAAAATTCTTAATGAGAAAACCTTTCAATGGGGTGAGTATAACAAAACTTTCAATAAAAGAGGCACTAGGGTTTGGCCAGGCTTTCCCAGACCAGACGATTGTAACTTATCATGTGCCTACCCATGCTCTGAATTGCTGTCCCTCTACTGACATGTCCACTGGTGTGGGGAGAGGGACGTCCAGACCTTCCCATGGTGCAAGGACACCTCATTGCTCTTCCAGTTTTCAGTGCCCAAAAGAGAGCTGGACCTGGTGTTTCTGGATCACAGCTATACCAAGCAGTAGATTGTCCCCTCAGGTGCCAGTAGTGCCTGCCCCACCTGCATGTTCTTTGTTACCCTCCAGAGACTGCTCAAAATAAACAAGAATGAAGAAAATAGAAGACGTTTGGGAACATTTAGTCCAGATGATGAATGGACCACAGCAAACCTCAGCCTCCACAACCGTGAGACGAGAAGAACTGGATGGTGCCAGGCTGCCACTGCTAATTACTCTGAAAGGGGTCACAAAAGACTGGCCTGAGTAGAGTGGGAGCACAAAGTGGAACAAAATCCAATCATAAAATAGACTAGGCTTACTGGTCTGATGGATACGTGGAATCCTGACTCTGCCCTTAGCAACTCTTCACTCCCGGAACTATACTCTCCCCTCTGATTCAGCTTTCAGCCAAAAGATATACAGGCTTGGTGGGGATGAATAACATCCAAGCAGTACACACACCTCAGAATAACCAAGCACATAAAATCAAAAGGACAGCATTTGCTAGTGGATAAAAACTCTTGAAAGCAAGAAGGGACTGGAAGGAAGGATGGATAATGAAAACACAGGGAGGGCAGAAGTGGGAAGAGTGCTGGTAGATCTCAGGGACTGCAATCAATGTATGAATTGTTGAATGGAAAACCAGTTTACCGTAACATTTTAAATCAATAAATTTGTGAAAAGAAAAAAAAAAAAAAAGTAGAAATATGTTGAACAGCAATGAAGACATGCTGAGAAGAAAATAAGAAGGTTAAAACACATTTAAAAGTGCTACCAAATAGGAGAATAAAAAGACAGGAAGAGAAGAAATTAAAGAGAATAGATTAAAATTTCATTCCAGAACTAACCACTAGAGAAGCAAACTGAATCCTAATAAAAAGTAGTAAAAGTTATGGTACTACCTAGTGAATTCAACATACCAAAGGCAAATGCTTCAAAAGAAAAATCTTAAAACTTATCAAGGAAGATGGGAGATTATCTAAAAAGAAAAGATCAAGCCACACTGGCAACATATTTCCAAAAAAGTATTTACAGAGAACAAAGATAAAGAATAAAGTCTTCAAAATGCTGGGGCAAAATCACCGCTAACACATATGGTACCCTCAACAAGATTATTATTAATTCAACAAATATTTGTCTAATGCCTACTATAAGAGGCTTCAAAAAGTTCATAGAAAAATGGAATTAAAGTGCAATGTCATTTTTCCATGAACATTTTCAAGCCTGCTCATATATTCCAGGCTCTATTTAGATGCTCGTGATACAATGGCAATTAAAGCAGAGAAAGTCTATGGCCTTGTAGAGTTTACACTATATTAAGAATTTTTTTGCCAACCAAGAATCTTTTATTATTTTATTAAGAATTTTTTTAAGAGAGAAAAGAGACAAAAAGAAATCCTTTAACTAGTTTCACAAGAAAGATGAGATGTTCTGTTCCCATAAAGATTTTTAACCTCGGAAACAGAAGGAGGCAATTCAACCCATTCCTATAGGATCGCTGAGTTGGAATCCATTCATTGGCAGTGAGTTAAGGTTTGGAAGGTTTACCTTAGATTTTCTTAATCAGTGGTATACAAAAATCTTTGAAATTACATTGACATTTGAGTGTCTGTCTACATACATAAGCAATGTTCTGTCTATAACTCAAAAACTATTAGAACCACTTTTCACTGACCCCAATCCCCATTCAAAATAGTTGATGTTATGGTTCCCACACCACACCCACCATACCCACCCAACTGCCATGGAATTCACTCAAACTCACAGCAACCCAGTAAGACCAAGTAGACCATTATTTAAGGTTCTGAGACAGTCAATCTTTATGCAAACAGTTTCACCTTCTCCCAATGACTGTGTGGTTAGCAATCCAACACTTAGCCCAGAGTTAAGCAAAACACCATGGTTCCCATCCACATCAAACCCGCTATAATGCAGTCAATTCTGACACATCCTTGCCATATAAAACAGAGGAGAACTGCTCCTTAGGGTTTCCAAGACTGTAAATCTGTAGGGAAGCTGACTGACAACCTTATCTTTCTCACTTGTGCTTTCCATCAAAGCCAAACCAACCCATTGTCAATGAATAGATCCTGATATAATAACCAAATATTGGGTTTTGAAAGCTGTAAATCTTTGGGAAAGCAGATTCAGAGAACTGGCTGGTGGGGTTAAACTGTCAGCCTTGAAGTTAGCAGTCCAAAGGCTACCCAACAGCACCACAAGTGCCAGAGCATCCTATAAATTCTTTCTTTTCCACACATTATTATTCTGATAGGACATCTCCACTAACTTTGCCACCAGATAGTAAGTTCTCACACGCAAGGCCTATCTCTATCTTGCTTAAGGAACTCATTCACAATAATTGGCAAATTGAAAGTATGGGGAAAAAAATTAAAGATTTTATAGTTGTTGAATATTTTAAGTGAGCTGTTGAATATATAAAGGAAATTCAAAAAGTTCGTGGAAATGCTCCATTATCTTTTACTTCCATTTTTCCACCAATTTGTTTAAGCCCCTTCATATAGCTGAACTTAATTCCCTTATGACAGAATTCAAAAAAATTGACAATGGACAATAAATCATTATGTATTTATCTTTTCAGAGTTGAAGATGTCCTGATGGAGCAGTGATTATGCGTTGAGCTGCTGACCAAGGTCAGCAGTTTGAAATCACCAGCTGCTCTGTGGGAGCAAGACAAGGCTTTCTAGTCCCATAAAGACTGCAGGCTTGGAAACTCACAGGAGCACTTTTACATATGGTCCTACATGGTCATTGAGTCAAAATGACCCGATTGCCGCGAGCTTGGTTCTGGAGGTTATCTTTCATAGTTGAACTTTTTAATGTTGCCTATTAACTCTACCAAACAACTTAAAAAGACTTTAAAAGAAAGCTTTTAAAAATATTAACTTGGCCATGTAAATTATCCCTGATTATATATTTAACATAAAGAATATCAGAAATATTTTAGTATTAGAAAACATTTACTTCCTATCTGTAATCTTTGAAATATGAAAGCTACTAATTGAGTTCTTAAATATACTCAATACTTGAGGTTAAAACAAAGGCTGCTTTAATGTAAAAGATGAGCAGGTATCATAAAATCTCATCCTGAAACTCTTTTTTTCCCATAACAAATGGCAATAGAGGCAGAAAATGTAAGGAAATTAAAAATGTGTGTGTGTGTGTGTGCGCGCGCGCGCATGAGCACGCACGTGGGTACACTAACAAACAACAAGGTATAAGCTGTAAAAAAAAAAAGCAAAAGATTCCTGAAGAGCAAGGACAGCAAATGGCTTTCCTCCTAAAATAAGTGAAACCTTCGACATGGCAAGAGTGAACCAGGTGGGTATCAATCATACGTAAACATGTAAATCTATCATTTAATTTAGAGACAAAATATTCTCAACTTTAGATGGCTTTCTTTTCTGTTCTTGCTTTAAAATGGAACGGTAGATTTTTTTAAAGATTAAAGAGCACAATTAAAAACCTTTAAAATAATAATAATAATAATTACTTACCAAGTTGGCCATATAAATTGTAAGGAGCCCTCTCCTGAAAATAATTTTTAAAGACAGAGTGAGAAAATATAAGATTAAGCATCAGTTTGACTTAATAATCAGTGTATCGTATTTTAGAAATCTACCAGGAGTTAAGGAATTTCCAGGTATCTTAGAACATATGGTAGATTATGTGAACTAAATGTTTGGTGCCATAAGAGTTCTAAGTAGATGTTATGAGTCATTCTGTTTTATGCTCATTAATTTAAATTCTTAAAAAAGGAAGTTGAAGCATATTTTAAATTGCTTTGCATCAACATTAGTTGTTATTAACTCATTGCCATCAAGTCAATGTTGACTCATGGCGACCCCCTGTGGTTTTCTGACACTAGCTGTTTACAGGAATAGAAAGCCCAGTGTTTCTCCAGAGGAGCTGCAAGTGGTTTCAAACTACCAAGCATGTGGATTGCAGCCTAATGTATAACCACTACATCATCAGGGAGGTGTAATTTGTTACTATTCTATTAATGATAAACAAACAAACTCAACCCCATCAAATCAATGCTGATTCATAGCAACCCTAGAGGACTAGGTAAAACTACTCCTATGAATTTCCAAGACTCTTTACAGAAGTATAAAGTCCAATAAAAGAAGGTCCAAACTAATTCTCTTGCCAAAACCCAGGCCACAACAATTCTAACCACAAAAATTATTTTTAAGAAATTTAGACTTTCTATTTGCTTCAGACACAATGGAATTGTTCATTTCATGAGCTTTTATTACATATTATACTAAATTAGCTTGGTTTTACTTTCATTATGTGAAAAGTTAGTTAAGTAGTCTCACTCCAAAAGACAAAAGTCTAAAAATAATCCTTGTACAGAAAAAGTGCACATTTACCAAAACTAATTAATGAGAACCCAGGTAAAACTTCAAAGATAAGCTAGGTCTATTTTCTGTCTTTAACTATAGTATTTTGCTTACACTGCATGAGACGAGGACGTTCATGTCCTGTTTTCTATGAAAGAAACCTTTCTGAGTTTTAACTGTCCATGCAAATAAACTTTGGAAATTACCAAAACTTTTTGGTGCGCAGTTTAGTACTGAACACTTTTAGATCTCAAAGAAAAATAATTGATTTATAAAACCAGTACCAATATCTAGTCACTATCACATAAATAAGGCGGATGATGAGGCTGTCTGCGCCTATAAAGATCTACCATCTCGGAAACCTTATAAAGGGTCACTATGAGTCAGAATCAACTCAATGGCATGAGCTTGGTCTCTAGTCTTTGGTTTTTCACTTAAAAATCATGCCAGGTTTTCTTACCTAATGATACCTAATAACATCAATGAGATCTTGATATGAGAGTCAATCATTTATAGTCTTGAGTATTCATGACTTAAAATGGCTAAATAAGATTTTTAATATTTCCAAAGCCAAATGGAAACTGTGTGACTTAGGAAATTGGGATTCCAGTAAACTTTAATTCTCTGGTACTCCATAAACAGGACTAATAATCTAACTTATATTCTTGAAACATGAGAATTATATATTTTAAATCTTACATTTATCAACTATATTTGAACAATAATACCAGATCTACACTGAAAAGAGAAAAACCATACCTACCCAGTAGGCAAAACTACCACCACCACTCAAAAAAAAATCTTCCCCTTCAACAAATCCCAATGCACTACAACACAACTAGATCCTAAGGTTCTCCCCCAAATAAGAATTTAATAATCAATAGTATATTTTATATAAGATCCCTCTTATCTCATCTTTCCTGTACTTTCTACTATAGATATAAATTGTTGTTACTAACCTTTGCCAACCTTAGCAATTCTTACCAAAATCTTAATCAAAGATGTTCAAATACTTACACTGAAAAAATTATACAAAGTAAATTCAGAGTAGCATCAACATTCAAGAATCACACAAAAGAAAGGTTAAATGCTTCAAGTGGTAAACATTTAACTGCCATCAAGTCAATAGTGACTGAAAGAGACACTAGAGAACAGAGTAGAACTGTCCCCTGTGGGTTTCAGAGACTGTAAATCTTTACAGGAATAGAAAGCCTCACCTTTCTCCTTCAGAGCAGCTGCTAGTTTTGAGCTGCTAACCCTCTAGTTAGCAGCCCAATGTGTAAAACCACTACACTACCACAGCTACTTAATTATATATGAAGAAGAATCTAAACTACATATTCCAAAACAAATATATTTCTGTAGCTTCCATGGTAGTACCTGATAATGCATTTCATTATGTAATAAAATGTATAATGATACTTTTAAAACCATTTGCTCCATTAACCTAATTCTGTGTCTAAAATTAGGTCAAAAACAACTCTAGTATCCTCCCTGATCTCAAACTACCTGATAATATAATTGCTTAAGAATAATTACAAGGTGAGGTTATCTTGTTTGCCTACCTTTACATCCCTACAAACCTGTGCAGTACCTGCCATCCAAGACATGCTAAATAAATACTTATTTTATTACTAGACACAAAAAAACCTAACCATCAAAGTATTAAGATGAGTTAGGCTGCTAACCCAAGGTCAGCAGTTTGAAACCATCACCTGCTCCGTGGGAGAAAGATAAGGCTTTCTATTTCTGTAAAAAGTTACAGTCTTGGACACCCACAGGGGCAGTTCTACTCTGTCCTCCAGGTCACTATTAGCCTAAATCGACTTGAGGGTAATGAGATGAATGAAGGTGCTAAGAAGGCGGTCAGCCTTATACAATGGAGCACCTCATGCACACGTAATCACCCAAAGATAGCCAATGGGAGAGAAGAGCGATTAATGATTCCAATTTATTAGCACGTAAAGAAATTCTTGTATTACCTTACATTTGCACAAAATTTAACAATTTACAAGGTCTAATGATGGTGTAGTCATTCTGCATTGGGCTGCGATCTGCAAGGACTGCAGTTCAAAACCCCCAGCAGCTGTGTGGGAGAGAGACTGGTTTTTCTACTCCTGTAAACAGTTATAGTCTCAGAAACTCACCAGGTAGTTCTACCCTGTCCTATCGGGTCACTATGAGTTAGTATTGACTCAATGGCAGTTTGAGTTTGAGTCTGAATCAATATTATGAAATTAGATTTTATCTTCCTAATAAATCCTAGGAAATATAAAGCAGAGACTTCATTCTCACTTGATAATAAAAGCAACCATCAAAAAGTTAACTAGTTTTTCTTTAAAAAGTAAAAGCAACAAAAAGATATAATGGGTCATCTGACTTTAGTTTTATGCTCTTTCTGATGTACTGCTTCTACAATAAAAAATCTTATACTATTTAAACCCCAAAACCAACTGCCACTGAGTCAACTCTGACTATTAGAGACCTTATAGGCCAGAATCTACATGCTCCTTAGGGTGTCTGAGACTATAAATGTTTAAGGAAGCAGATGGTCTCAGCTTTCTCTCTGGAGCAGCTGATGGGTTCAAATTATGGCCTTTCAGCTAATTGGTGCACCAACAGAGTTCCTCACATCACTACTAACCACTTGACACTGAGTCAATTGCAACTCAATGCCATCCTGCAGGACACAGAAGAATAGCTACTTGGGTTTCCAAGACTGTAAATCTTTAGTGGAGTAAAGACTCCTCTTTCTCCTGGTAGGTTTGAGTTGCTGACCAAACCATTAGCAGTACAATGCTTAACCCAACAATGCCACCAGGGCTCCTCACAATACTAAACCAAAAACCAAACCCACTACCATTGAATCCATGCTGACTCATAGCAACCCTGTAAGACAAGGTAGAACTGTCCCTGTGATATCAATGACGTCTATAATATGGTACCTTACTAGGCTTCTATACTTTAAGGATGAATAAAGCCTTGGCATTGTCTTAAAAAAAAAAAAATCAACTCACTGCCACTGAGTCAATTCCAACTCATAATGCCCCTTAAAAGAGAGTAAGCTTCCGAGACTTTGTATCTTTTGGGAGTAGGAGGCCTCATCTTCCTCCCTCGGACCAGTTGGTGGTTTCAAACTGCTGGATCTTGCTATTAGCATCCCAATGCATAACCACCATGCCACCAGAGTTCAACATTGTCTTACTAGACTGAAAAGGCAGAAGATGCATTGTCATTAGATTGTGTCCTGTTCTCAAGGTTCAATTTACTCTCATAGGAGTGTTGGAGGTTGGAGAGACTCAGGAAGATCTCCTTCCCAGCTTTGTCTAGATGATATGAACCCAATTAGGCTCAAGAAAGAGAGAAAAATTAATGTGAAGGGCAAATGTTAGAATACAGTGTGAGTCTTTTTGTACACTTTTTCCTCATGCAATATTTTCATCCAATTTTAATGTCAATTCTTTAGCTGTTAGATGGCTTATTTTATTTATCCAGTGATGTTAAGCATCACAAAAAACTCATATATTAATGAGGTGCCATTTTGTTATTTCACACTTGGCTATATCTAGTTTAAGGGCCCTAGTGGTGCTGTTAGTTAGGCATTGGGCTATTAACCACTAGGTAATGGGTTCAAGCCACTCTGTGGGAGAAAGATGAGGTTGCCTGTATCCTACAGAATTATACACTTGGAAATCCTATATAGGGTAGATATGAGTGGGTTCAGTTTTATGTCTAGTTACAGTGAAGGGCCCAATTCATAGTGTCCCCATAGGACAGAGCAGAACTGGCCCGCTAGGTCCTTGAGACTGCAAATTGTTTGGGGAGCAGACAGCCTCATCTCTCCTGCTCTGATGGCTAGTGAATTCAGATCACTGAGCTCGATGCCTAAGCCACAATCAGCACAATAGCAGTGGGTTTGGTTTTTGGTTTTAGAGTGAAGACAAACAGTTCAACATCCCCTTTCCTGGAGAGTAAATCCTCTCTGGAAACCAAGTTACATACTAAAATTCTGCCAACCCAGCGATGCAGAAAGGGACTGTGCAATTAGAACAGCAGGTAGCACGGTCTGAAGGGAAAACACTAAGGCAAGAAGGACAATAAATGACTGTTTAAACTTCACAGGAGATTCTGATACGCAGACTCCCATTCTCCTGAGAATCACTAGATTAGAAGGCTGGCGCAGCTCAGTGATTCAATTTGTGGACAAGCTTTGAGGTGTAAGAAGAAGTAAGAAACACAATGAATTTCTCAAACGTGCAAGCAAAATAGAATAGGTGAGTACATCAAAGAGTACTACTTTACAAAGTGTTAAAAAAAAAGCACACACACCTTGCTCTATAAACTGCTTAATCAGATAAAACATTACAAAATTTAATTTTCTGTAATGGTCTCATAAATGAAAAACTATCTTCATATTACTGAAATCCCAATTATGATTATCACCTAGCATTATCATGTCTAATTAGCTCAATAATAACGTTATTGGTTTCTTCACTAGTAATTTTTGTAAATATATTATTTAGCAATCTTTCTCAAACTTCTTAGCTTTTAAATTATATTGTAGGTAACATTGGCCATTATCTGAAATCACTTAGAAAGTATAGTAGGAAAGGTATGAATATGGAAAATCATAAATAGTTATCTGTTCTGCAGGGAAATAGGAAATAGGCACATAAGAACAATTATAGAAAATGAGAAACTTTATGTGAAAGAAAAAGAAGGCCTACACACTGGAACGGTTTCCTAAAAAATACTATTTAATCATCTCAAAAAGACTTTCAAGATGTAAAATTTTCCTTATCTATCAGACTGTTTTAAACTAATACAAAGATACTTCCTTGAGATACTGAGTCCGTGATCATATTCTATGATACATACACATAATACAGAGTCCACTTTCCAACAGACGGCAAAGTAGTTTCATTTTCACCTTGAAAGCATAGCATTAAAACGTGAAAATACTGAATCTATAAACCAAATTTACGTCCACATAACACAGAGATCACTCAGTTTGGTCGTATCTGCTTATGGATTTCATACTACTGCAGTGCAATTAAGCAACACAACCAATTACTATGCATAGAATAAATACATAATGTTTAATATTTGATTCATATTCATGTTTAATACATTGTACACCTTTTAACTTATCTAAACTAATACAAACTATCAAAACAAATTCCACAGCAACTCTACAAAACAAGAATCCATCAGAACAACTTCTTTCTGAACCACAACAAAGCACTTCCTACGAAAAGAAAGAGGAGACTCGTTCTTAGCAACCCTCCTAGGGATAAGCTACTTGTTACCAGTGCTGCCTGCTGAGTTACTATGATCACAGTGCAACCCTGGAAACAACTTCAAAGCTTTCATAGGACCCCCTCGGTGATACGATTAAGACTTAAGTAAGATGCCCACTAACAAAGTGTCAAGAGCTAGCTGGCAGAGCATACCTAATTCTCAAAAGGGATAGAAGGGTAGATAGATTGGAGGGAGAAAAAAAGAAGTAGAGAGGACAGAAGGTCAAACCAATAGACATAATGATGTATTTATGGATACTGAAAGATCTTCACCTATGTATCTGTATCAATCTATATATCTACTTTATATATGTGTACACTGTATCTATCTATATATCTACTTTATATATGTGTACACTGTATCTATCTATATATCTACTTTATATATGTATACACATTATATGCAATTGAATATAAAATGTATAATACCAGAGTAAATATCTCACTATCACTCAAAGCTTCAGAGGTTTAAACATAAGAACTACCACTATTGGTCTATTTGAAGAAAACTGCTAATGCTTTACAATCTGTTTCTTCCCTCTTTCTAACTTATTACTGACGCTTGTAGAAAAAAAAATAATGAACTGTACAACTGACTCCTTAAGTGTTGTTTTCCAACTTTGAACCTCAGACTTCCTACTGTGGGCTTTTTCATTTTAATATAATAAATTATACATAAAAATAATTTCTAGTTTGTAAAGAAGACAATAAACAGTTCTATGACGTATCCACACATATAAATTTTTACCTGCTTTTTCTCTCAATGAGAATGGCCACATAAGATGCTGGCAGGGCGGCACCAAAGCCTGGACTCCATGAGTAGAATTTCCCGAGTATCTTCCTGAAATTCAGATTGAGAATGTTCACGTGAAAAGCCTAGATGGTCATTTCAGGTGCTACAGATAAAAGTGCCCCTTCTTACTCCATCGTCTACCTAAAAATCTCACAACCCCTTAAATTAACCAAGTCCAAAACAGAATTCATTATTTCTCTCTCCCATCCCCATAAACCTGGTCTTCCGCCTCTATTTTCCTAGGTTAATGGCATCAACAACTACCTGTCCACCTGTGTTTGATTCCTAGAGTCTTTCTCCTTCTTCCTTGCCTGTATATCATATCATACCTTTTTAAGTTACTAATACTAATACAATGTAGCTCTCATATCTTTTTAAGTTACTAATACTAATACAATGTAGCTAATACTAAGTTACTAATACAATGTAGCTCTCAAATTCCTTTCCAACCTACTGGTCCTGCCTTAGTTAAATCCCTCAACATCTATCATTCATGCTACTTTGACAGCACACTAGGATGATTGTCAGTCCATTCCCTACATCTGCCACTGCTCGTCTATCAATTAAAAACAATATAAGTTTCATACAGTTTTTATGAGGACTAGGAGTTACATCTCAGTATGATGTATGCACACAGTAAGCACTCGGAAAATTAGAGTTGTCATTACTGTAGGGTATTGCTAATTTTTATCACAAGAGATGGACATTCAGCAGGTTTTTCTTTCTCCTTGGTTTATATAACACTGGCAACCTTTTGTGATAGCCCTTAATTTACAGTATTTTGTATTGTTAGTGACGTGTATGTCTGCTTCCATTTACTACGATATGAATCTTGAAGGTAGGAAGTTTACATAGTGCATTATAAATGGCTATTAGCTGCTTAATTTTTTTTAAAAGATGGGGCAGGGGAGATTTTTGGGACTGATTTTCTTTTTTCCTTGCAGAGACAATATGTCCCTAAGAAAGGGAGAAGTACCATGTATAACTATTGTAAGAAATGATCCAAACAAAGTTGGTCAATTACTAAATAAGGCTATATAGAAGAAGAAAAACACTTATGTATAATGTGTATATATATTATATATATCCATATTCATGGCTAATACATTGCACATATTTTAACTTATTTAAGCTAATACAAACTAACATGGAAACATTAAATTATTTTTTAATTCCATTTTTCCATTGACTTTCTAAAGTCTTCTCATATACTCATACACACACAGATACGGATCAAGAGTAACAGGTGGAAATTTTTTCATTGAAGTTCAGCTTTAAAAGGATTATATATGGTTATAATTTCATAAGAACAGATTGAAAACTAGCTTCTTTCTTCCATAAGAAAACTGGCTTCTTTCTTCCACAAGCTATCCACTCTGGTGGCTTAAGTTTAATAGTGACTTTATGGAGGTACACAATCCCCTTTAACATACTTATCCAAACTTTTTCAGTGTTTTACATAAAATCTTTCAGTCAATCAAATCGATAATTAATTACTGAATAAATTTACGGTCTTAGTTACCTGGCACTGCTATAACACAAATACCACAAATGATCACCATATCATATTCTTTCCAAGCTCTTTCTATCACTATAATTAAATCTTTCTCACAAGCTCTCCTGTTTCTAAGATTTGAGCTCTAGTTCCATGAGATTTATACAAAGGTTCTGAGTATTAATACTTCTCCCAAGTGACATGTTAGGAAAAAATGTTTTAACATAATTCAAGAACTGATTTATCTAATTATAAACATATTGTAGCTAGTACTGATTTAAAAGTAAACTATGTATATTTTTTTTTTATAAAAAGGGCTAGCGGCGCTACTGTGAAAACATAATTTGGATATTTCCAAAATAAATATCAAAAGCCATCTTTCTGAGAAGACCAATATAAAATCTAAAAAGAACATAAAAAATTATTGAATGTCAAAATTAAAGGAAAAATGAACAATTAGTTAGTGGAAAAGCATGATGTCACCTATTCTATAAGCATTTTCTATCTCCACAATTTAACCAAATAGGTCCATAGTACATAATGATATATGCTAAAATAGCAAGCTATTATTGTAATTATATAACTCTCATTTTACAGTAATAGCAAGTTTCAGAAGGTTTAAAAAAAAAAAGCTTTCCAAAAACCACATTGTAAAGAAACTTTTCCATCAATTTTTAAGTCATTTAGAGGCATGACTATGTCAATAGCAAAGGAGAATCTTTATCAGTTATTTTCTTCATAATCTAAAAGTTTATAAATATTAATCTCCTTAAGAAAACATTATAAAGAACATTTGGAAATTATTTTTTAATTGTGGTTAAAATATAGCCACAACACTATCTCAAATAACACTAATTAAATACAAGGATAAAAGTAAGGATCGCAAATTTATAAACAATAACTAATTTTAACCTTATTATGCATTTTTATAATATTATTTATTTCTCTCAGCTTACTATTTTAAATCACTGAACAGCTGCTCATTAAATTTTAATATTATAAAGTTAATCATTTAACTTGACAGATTAAAAAAATAAACATTAGCCAGGATTTTCAACAATCAGTGGGTAAAAAGATAAAAGGAAAGACATGCCTAATAGACACATTAGTTATATCATAGCAGTTAAAATATAGATTCTAACTGCCTGATATTACTAAATATGTGAAGGATAGCATGTGGCACTGGTAATGTATATATAGATTATAATTGCCTGATATTACTAAATATATGAAGGATCGCATGTGGCACAGGTAATGTAAATATGGCTGATTCTGGACCAAAAGTTTCAACAGGAGGATACACCAGGAGTTCCGGTTTTATTTATTGGCATGTGCACTTCATAGTCTTCTCAAAGTATGGTAACAGCAGATGGGCCTAACCTATATCATAGTCAGTTGCTTTAATTTTCTAATCTATGAAACTGAAAAGAAATACTAATGAGAAGCCTGCTAATTATAGCAGGCCTCAGAGATGTGTAATACATTAACATAGTCCTGCTATCTAATCGCACCAGTCATCTAAGTATATACTGCACTCTACATTTAGGTAAGTGACTCACAATTCCTGGTTCCACATGGTTTCGTTCATATGTCATTTCAGAGAAAAAAAAAAAAATATATATATATATATATATATCTCACCTGTGTAATATTTATGAAAATATCGTTTTGCTTCCATTTCAATAAAGGAATGTATATGATGCTTGGATGAAAATTATGAGTACCAACCTTAAAATGCAAAAGAATGCCATATACAAAGCCCCATTAGCCGTCAGAAATGAAGCAGATTGTAGGATCTCAGGAAGTAGTTTGTGTAAATAATAGTCTAATTTTCGTTTCCGGAGAATTGCTGCAATCTGGAAAGAAAAAGGCTATTTTATTTAATCCAACCAACTTTTCCCATTTAAATTAATGCCAACAGGGAAAACTCATTGTCATCTAAAGGGAAGCTAGTGAATAGTGGCATATGTTTAAATATTAAATTTTAAAATCCTAGTATTTTACTGGCTTCTCTTGTAAAAGTGAATTTTCTAGAGCAAAAGTAAAGGCATATTTTATCCATTACACTTTGCACTGAAGTTGTAATGGATAAAATACACACCAGAGTCATCCTAGGATCACGAGTTACCTCGAAATATTGAAATAAAATATTTGTAATGCTTAAATTTTAAACTGGAAAGACTATAGCTATATACATATAGATTGACAAAAATAAATTACAGTTCAAATAAAAATTGGATGCTATAAAAACTTATTGCCAGACTAGGTATTATAGAACCTCGGTGATAGAACCAGAGAAATTTATTCAGTTATCCAAACATGCCTACAATGTAACAAAAACTCTTCTAGAAATACAAAAAGTAAAAAGTGTAAATTAATGATTCCAGATCTCTTGGAGCCCATGAGAAAAGATCTGAAAGAATATATATTTTAAGAATTTCATTTTTTAGTGAACTTTGAATTTAAATTTTTCTGGATTTAAAAAATCAAAACAACAACAACAAAAAAAACCTCTGCTATAAGTTAGTAATTATATTTAGAAAACAATACATGAAACCTAAGTATTTCTTGAGCACAGTACTGATAGGTTTTTGTTGTTCACTGTCAGAGTCAATTCCAACTCTGAACTATAGTAGGGTTAGCATATAGATAGGGGTGTTAAATAAGAATTAAGTTTTAGTAATGAATACAAGGTGTCACAGAAGTGTAGCCAAGGGCGAGTCTACCATAGGACAGGGCAGCAGTCTCGTGCAGGAGGAGACATGAGCTTGATTTGGAAGAATACAATTAGGATTCTTATAAATCAAGGAAAAAGCAATACTTTTCTATCATGAAGGCAGCACACATCAAGAGAACATAAGTTAAAGCAACACAATTAAGAAACAGAGAAGGGATGAGAAAGGGCAAAACTGACAAACAGAAAGAAAACTATAGAACATTTCTACTCATTTCCTACAATCCTAGAGATAATACGTTCTCCAAAATTGGTGAGCAACAAATCCAACAACTTCCTCTCAATTCATATCTTACATTCCACCCCCTTGAAGTCTCTGAAACTGACCATCACCTACCCCAATTCAGTTCAATGAAGTGTTAGAAAGCATAACGCCAAACACAAGATAAAAAACAATGATGAACAGGACTGAACAAATTGCTTTTAAGCATTATGCCAAACACAAGGGAAAAATAATGATGAATAAGACTGAAGGAACATAAAATCTTCACAGGAAAATAGATATACACATAGCAAACTAAAATATATCAGCGTGGCAAATCCAGAGTTTTGGTGGCATAGCAGTTACGCACTCAACTATTAACTGAAAGGTCAGCAGTTCAAGCCCACCAGGAGAAAGATATTGACAGCCTTGGAAACCTTCTAGGGCAGTTCTACCCTGTCCTATACCTATATAGTCTCTGTGAATAGAAACTGACTCAACAGCAATGGGTGATAAATGCTAAACAGTAGGAAAAAGCAACTGCCAGAGAAATACAAGGGGGCTCCAAAAGTTCACAGTGGGTGAATGGCATTTTTTCCATAAGCTTTCTGAAACTCCCTTACATAGAAATTCATAAAAGGTAATGAAGGAAGATAGGCAGGTGGTGTCAGGAAGATTGTCCTGAGCCTTCAAGGACGGATCTTAACATATAGGTAGAATTTTGACAGGTAGAGGAGTTTTGGTGGCTTCAGCATCCATGCACTGTTTTTGTTTTCCCATTCAGTCTCTAAATGTTCTTCCTCTGTTAGTATTTCTTCCTCGGCGCTCTACTCACTGTACAAGTATTTTTTCCCATAGCATCAACTGTCATCTCAGAGTAGGAATTCTTATTATATTCCTAAACTCTCCCCAAAATTCTATATGCACACTTCAAATGTCTATTGGACATGATCACATTTATGTTCCAAAGGCACCAAAAGAATCGACACATCAAAGCAGAACTGTTACTTTTCCAAATGCACTTTCACGTCTGAATTGCCTACCCCAATGGACAGGTCACTAAAAGAAACCAAACCGGTCACCTACATGTCATGGCAACCCATGTGTCTCAGAACAGACGTGCACTCTACAGGATTTCAATGGCAAAGATCTTTCAGAAGTAGATTGTGAGATCTTTCTTCCCAGACTCATCCAGGTGGATTCAAGCCACCAGCCTTTCCGTCAGCAGCTAAGCACAGAACCATATGAACTCCACGTAGCATCACATTGACCCAATTATTTAGAAACAAAACACTGTCATCATCTTCAATTTCCTCCTGAGCTTAGCCATCTTATCAGTTCCTATGATTTTCTAGTGTCTTCAGGTCTTGAAAGGTGATGTCTGTTTTAGTCTTAACCTACCCGTACTTTGTAGCCAGATAGCTATAGCAAAAACATCCCTTGCTGTTCCTTATATTTGGAAGTGCAGGAAACATATTTGAAGAAGCAGTAAAAGCCCATAACTGAAAAATACTACAACCAGTATTTTTAAATACTCGTGTTTACTCACTTACTCCTTCCTAAATATAAACAAAAGAGCAGGTTCGTCTTTGAGTTTACAGTCAAGAACCTTGAATGCATAGTCTGTCACCGTCCATTTCTCTTGTGCCGTTTCCACTTTGAATGTTGCATTACACGTCTATCTTTCCACCAAAAGGTTTCTCACTAAAATGATGAAAAGAACTTTCATCTCTCCTTTTCACTTCAAAGCAAACGTCTATTTATATCCTTTTCTCCTGGGCAAAAGAAAATGGAATCACGAGTTTGTTTATAAGAGCAGCCACTCAACTTGGGCTCTCAATTACATTCTATTCTCTAGGATTTGGCATCCTCAGACATTCACTTGCTTAGTCTGTTGCCCTCTACTTTCTCTATGCAACTCTCCATTCTAACCACATTTCACTGTAACACCTTATTTAATCAAATATGAAAAGGGTAGGTTCACATCATGAACCTCAACTTCCTGTATCATCACATAGCTATTTTTATTATAAAGACAAATTTTCACTGAACTATCAACTGCTCCATCCAAAACACACTTGGGTATGTCTACCATTATGCTAGGCATTACAGAGTACAAGGAGGGGTAAAAAAAAAAATCCCTGCTCATAAGATGTTTCAACTAATCAAAACAAACATCTATTGAATTCATAACTCTGAAACTTAAAAAAGGAAAGAAAAGAAACCTGTAAACAGATGGCTTTTACTTAGTAGAAGAGGCTTCTGCTAAACATTAGGAGAATTAACACTAAATCTACAAAATCTCTTACAGGAAATAGGAAGGACAGAGAATATCCCTATTTATTTTATGAAGCTAGTATTACTCTGATACCAAAACTACAGAAAGACAGCACCAAAAAAAAGAAAGAAAGAAAGGAAAACTAAACACCATTACCCCAACGGCACCACTAGAGCTGATGGTTGCCAGGGTGGTAACGCCTGGCATGGTGCTCGCCCACCCCCTCAGATCATCCAAGAAATCACAGCACGAATCCATCGAGTTGACTCCGACGCACAGTGGTTCTGTAGGACACAGTAGAACTGCCCTTGTGGGCTTCCAAGATTATATAAATCTTTACGGGCGTAGGAAGCCTCATCTTTCTCACAGAGGGGCAGGTGGTTTTAACAGATTACCTTCCACCTAGAAGCCTAAAGTGTAATCTACAAGGCCACCAGGCTCCTATCATCTGACCACACATAATCTTTAATAGTGTTTATCATCAGTTTTAATCACAGAATATGTCATTTTAATTATAAATAGTCTAAATGTACTGTTTCTTAGCTTATATGAACATGAACAAAACGGTTTTATAAAAATGCTCTACATTGAATTATACTATTATATAAAACCTTATTACGTAGTTTCTCCTTTTCCTTTAATAACTACTTCACCTCAAAAAAGTTATCGGTATAGGTTCACAATATTGTAGCTAAAACACAAAGTTTGACAAAATCAGCAACTATAAAAATATCAGAATCAAGGAAAACAACAGCACATGCTTATAGCACATGCGCATCAAATCACATTTAGAAGTGTCATAGTAACTGGGTGGTAATGTCACCTCTGACCAGAGCACATAAACTATCCAAAAGCACTAGCATGGAGTTTTAGTCTTTTAGGTACATGTATGCTGGGTATATGGGAAAACAAATTGTTGTAACTAGAGAGCTATTTCTATTTTAAAAAATAATTCCTGCCGAAACAGCACAAAAGTTTTACAAGCAGCCATTTCAGGGTCGCCCCCTGTGACAGTGTCACTTGGTGTGGTCCGCATCTCGTGCAGCTCCCTAGTGATACCACTGCAATAACCCTCGTGGACGCAGCCAGTCCTAACAGAATATTAGCAAATAAACTTCAGAAACATTTCAAAAGAATTGTACACCACCACCAACTGGGGTAACATTCCAGGAATGCAGGAATAATTCAACAATATAAAATCAAGTAACGCAACCCACCATATAGCTGCCACTGAGTCAGTCTCAACTCAAAGTAATCCCATGAACAACTGATAGAATGCTGCCTGCCTCTGCCATCCTCTTAACTGATTACAGAGCAGACCACTGTGATCCACGGCTTTTTCACTGATTGATTTTAGAAGTAGCTTGCCAGGCCTTACTTCCTTGTCCTTCTTAGTCTGAAACTCCACTAAACCTGTTCAGTATTACACCAAACCTCCATTAACAGATGCACTGGCTTAAGTTAATGACCAGAATGCACGCAATAGAGGCTTAATCTATATGGGGACTCCACAAATGGATTTTGAGCTATCACTGCCATCCATAGCCTTTTACAAACTAAGGGATTCAGAATTTAAGCTCTAATACAGTCCTCAAGCAGGATACGTTGGAAAGTAGATTATAACCCCCCAGTATGCACTCCA